CCTTCATAATTCTAATTTTGTTCTTGCTTCTATAAATGTTTATAACAATTTAAAGTTGAATTTATTTGTATTCCCCTCGAGATTCTAACTATCGAAAGTCGAGACTCGACTGTTTTCGATTTCGAACCAATGAGCGGGACAGCAGCATAAGGGAAGTTTCCGAAAACAGTCTGATGGTCAAGAACAACATCAAATAGACGTCAAAAACAGTCGTAGGTAACAGATGCGAATGAGAAAATATTAAAGCATCACTAATGTATTCTATGAAAATCCATTGCGCCTTTTTGGGTTTCGCATACACGAGTCGTATTACGGATAATAAACAACGGCAAGTCGTCGATAACTGAAAATTATAAAATAATAATCGTCGTACGGTTAAAATACTCACCATTTTTGCGGCTTGTGCGTCACAGGACTGCGGGACCGAATTCTAAGCAAATTTTCGACTTTTGAGTTTAAACGTTCAAAAACGTACGGCTTTCGGATGACGGTCGCGAACACGGTCCGGCACTTTAAAGTATTTACCTAACCAGTAAACAAACGCTGAACCTGAAACGCCGTCTGTCGCGCACTACAGGCTTGAAGTGAGGCGCGTCGGTGTTCGCCGCGCTCCGAGTTACGGAAACGGATCGACATTGGGCAGGGTTGCCAACGCGAGCCCGCGACCGACGGCGACAGTCCGTATCATAAATACCCACCATCATTGAAATAATATTAAAATGCGGTAGGGGAGGTTGTAGATATTCAACCGTGGTGGTGGCCCTATGTTGGGTACTTACAAGTTAGAATGATTATAGTTGTACGTAATTCAACATTGTACACACAATTTTTGTTACTAAATAATAGTAAGTTACGGTTGTTTGACTATATTTATATTTATATTTTACGTACCTACTAAAATGTCTTTTTGAAATACTGTTTATTATAGGGTAGGCAGTAGGTATAGTACCTGGTACCTAATTAAAAAAATATATTATGAATCAATAATGATTAGGTTTTTCGCTATTTACTTTTCGTTCAAGCATACGTTGAAAAACACAAATATTTAAACATTTTAAACTAACGAAATTGTAGTCAGTAAACTTAATGAAGACAAACGCTGATGTTGTATGCAGTTTCGTAGTCTTAAATTAATTATTGGCTATGCGCTTTTTTTAAGAATAAATTAAAGGTTTTTGTTATTCTCTTTTTTATTTTCATAAATTAAAGTCGTGTCTTGTAACTTCATGGTTATAACTGGTAACCAATATGGTTTAAAAGTTGAACTGTGGTCAATTCTTGGTATACTCGGTTGCAACTTGGTTTGTAAGTGATTCAACTTTGGACACTCATTTTAATGTAACTAAATTATAGGAAGTTACGGTTGTCAGACTTATTTACACTAAATTTTACATACTAAAATGTCTATTTGGAATACTGTTTATTATTGGGTAAGTAGGTACCCGATATCTTATTAATAAAACACAATTATTAATGATTATTTTATTATTTGTTTTTGTTAAGCATACGTTGAAAAACACTAATATTTTAAACTCACCGAATTGTATAGTCATTAAACTTTATGAAGACGAGAGCTGTCGTTGTATGCAGTTTTGTAGTATTAAATTAATTATTGTGTGCGCACCTTTTCTTTAGAAAAAATGAAAATCAAGCGCTTTGTTGTCGTTCTCTTTTTTATATTCATCAATTAATGTTCTCGCGCCCTTTAAACATTATTGTCTTTCTCTATAAAAGAAAGTCTATTGTAGCATATGTGTTGTATTTAATTTTCGCCAAAAGCATGTCAACATCAGTATTTAGAGATCTATAATTTGTGTATATGTCGATAATGAACATTTTAAAACGTCGTTCTATCCGGCAATGTACTATTGCCTATACATTACGCCGTGCAGCATAAATTATGTTTGGTTTAATATTTTTGACTGAATGAAAGGCGAGGGACTGAGAAATCTCATGGGTATACGATGTTTTATCCGTACCTGTTTATTTATTGGGCATATTTTAGAGCAGAAGTGTAGTTTTAAAAGTTTCGAGTAGTTCTGCGGTCCTGTCTATCGATTTGAATTCTAGTCTGAATGTATACCAAATGTATGGTCTATTTCCCGAAAATGATACAACGCGTACTTATGGAATAAAATAAAATAAATATAAGATTATTAAATTGAATGTAAAAGTAGACGAGTATTTACGAAAAGAGGTGGTCAAACTGTACCTACGGTTTTTTTAAAGTAGATAATAATAATTATAATTTGAAACAATATTATATAAAATAATTGAAATATTTATAATATTATGGTGAAGCAACGTTTGATCACTATTTATGCATTTGTAAATACCAAATAAATAATAATTTTTATTTTGTCGACTAAAATAATATTTGTATACATTAACTTTACAAGCGAACTAATAAATTGGTCAGTACCTTAGTACCTAGTTACCCAAACTAAAAATTTATAATCAATGAAAATACGAATTAAAAATGTTATAGATATTATGATTGGGGGTATATTATATTGTTTGTTTTAAAATTTTGTTTGTCGTGATAAATAAACAAGTATATACTTTTAAATTAAAAATAGTGACAACATCAATCAATATTCTGATCTTTTTTTATCTTCTATGTTTATTATGAATTTTCATCATCAATTATATTGGTAGGTAGTATGTATTTGGTTTTTTCTGTACTGGAACCAACATAGTGCGTATTGGTAAAAAATAATTTATAAATAATTTTCAATGAATAGGCAACCTTGCTATATAAAACTGCTATTAAAGCACTTTTATTGAACACAGAGTATTCTTTGAAACAAAAAAAAAATAGTATTTCTAAATTACTAAACTTTCTCACTTCCGTTCAAAATCTAAATAAAAAACTAAAGCAAAATTACTTATTACAAGATGCATTTCCGAATTCTTCAACTTTTTATAGCTATAAAATATAATATATATTTTCACAGGATATATAAAAGTCCGAGGTAAAATATTTCAAACATCTGAGATTGTCTATATTACAATTTACAATATATTATTTGGATCAATGGTGAACTATAAAAAATAAATACAAAACATCATAGTCAATCATGGGATGAATCGGCTGATTTATGCCATTAAACATGTTTTAATTATATGACTTATCGGCTATTTCGAAATAGTTTATAATGTTTAAATATAAAGCTGCAGTTATTTTTTAGTGCATGCTCTCGCTCTATATAAGCTTAAATCTTTTAAATAGTAATTAATCTATGTTTCATAGTATAAAAATAGCATTTAAAAGTAAGTAACATGAAATGTAATGAATTAGAATCAGATATTTAAACGATCACATGATTTAATACAAATAATAAACATAACTACAACTCATATTCTCATAAATTATATTGAGTGCTATTTCCGCTACAAGAGAATCAACGCCAATACAAAATGCTAATTTTTGAGGCCTTGACCATACATTGTTATTTGCTTAAGTTATTAAAATATTGTTCAAAAAATGACTAAAATAGTTTTAAAAACACTGTTAAGACTTTGATTTATTTTATTATACCTATTTAATAATATACTATCTTTTTTTAAAACTAATAGATCAGTGATTAGTTATTGAAGTCAATAGATTCTATAGGTACAGACCAAATTTAAAGTATGAATGGGTACCCAATTACTATTTAAAATTAACAAAATAAAAATAATTTAAACAACCAAAGTATTTTAAACCAAAACTATTGTAGACACATAATAAGTTACAATGAATTGAGTAATTATTTAATAATAAAAAATTTATAGGCCAGGAAAATAGTATGAACCTGTTTAAATAGTACCTAATAGTGTCAAACAATAATACATAATTTCTAAAATAGTAATTAACCATATATGACTGTAATATTTGGCCCAATTCACCACTGAGGTATAACCCAGTATTAGTGAAATTGGAGTTTTTCAATTATTAATTGTATTATTTATTATTTAACAATCATAAAATCTAAAGGAAAGGAAACAGAGTAAAAAGAGAAAAAAATACAAATTATTTATATGTACATAAAAACAATAATAAAAGTTGAAATAATATATAACATTACTTATAGCTAATTTATTGTTTTATACATAGTCGTATTATATGATTTAGGTTTCAATATATGATTTATAAATATTATTTCATTTTATTTCTGTGGTAACATTTTGTGAATGTATTATGTACCTACTATATATTTTACACGTACGTATAAAATCTCGGTCCACAAATAATTCGAATAAATTATTGAATGTCCCATGATAAGGAAATAAATAATTCGTGAACTCTAGTAGGTTTTCAGATAGTTTCTTTCAAGTTTCAACAGTTGTGAACTTTATGGCTCCCCCGAGGGTTACAATAATTCACTCAAATGGTATTTTATTTCGCCGAGTTGCTGAAGTGGTGAAGTGTTAACACGTGGCGTAAATCGGAACCCTGAAAGGAACTCTTACACTCTAAAATGAATAATGTAGACGTAATCTACTCAATTGATGTATTTTCTTATTCTTGATTCAACCTTTATATAAAATATATTCAATAAGATAACTTTAAATAATTATTAATTATACTAAATATTATAATATATGTATGCAGCCCAGTCAAGTATAACGGCATAACGCATACCCATAACACATGTATATAGTTGAGCATCGTTTACCCGAACTAATTGGGACTGGGATACATTTTGATGGTAAATCATTTTAAAATTATTTGCTGATTTTTATTTATTTGTATATAATCCGTGATTATCGTGATAATAAACAAAAGAAGATAGATAATATACAGAGATCAAACGATCTTAAATAGAAAATTTAGTCAAAATCCTAATAATGTAATTATAATATTAGTATAAAAAAGAAAGTAAAACATTAATACGCAATAAACATAACACATAATAGATAGTCGTCAATTTATAATAACTGTCAATAATCACACTGTTAAATAATATTTATTATGGACATTAATATTAATGAAATTTATATTTTTTTAATTTAAGATACTTGATCATGCGGGAAAAGGTAACGCCGCAACTATTACATCTAAAAAAGAAGTTCCAGGATCATATTGTGGTGAAATAGAACAACCGCAAACATTCTTATCGGAAACGAGTTCAGTTCGAGTTATTTTTCAGACAAATAACTTTACAGATCAAACTTATTACAGTTTCGATTCAAGAGCTGAACAAGAAACTCAAGTTTACTTGCGATATGGACAACATCCGGAACTCTATCCTAATAGAAGAGGATTGCTGAACCCTGGGTTAGAACAATAACAATTAAATATTTTTATATTTATTTTATTATAAGTGTTTGTGTTACGATAAAAAAAATTGGGTACTAAAAAATTACGTAGATATTCAAATTTGTATTATTCGTATAAAAAATATAAGTATTTATTGAGTGTGTTATATAATATGTTAACCGAAAAATAACTATATTATATTAATATTTAATAAATAATACAAGTAAGTATCCATATTATCACCTCTATTCGTGTTTAAATAGTTAAAAAAAATATTATTGTGTTATTATTTTTGAATTCATCATTTTAACGTTATATAAAATAAACACCATAAGGTAGGTAATAAAATACAGTTGACTATCGATAATTCGAAGTTCTTTGAAAAACCTTTAGTTTTTAAATTGCTAATTAATTAGAAATACGATATCATAGGTAGGAAGATAATTAAGAAATATGTATGATACCAACTTGATGGCTCTCAAAAAAACTTAGCTAAGTTTAAAATAGTTAAATTATTAATGATAAAGGTATACACTTTGTGCACGATCAATAACGATGAAACAACTTGGAATCGGCGAGAATTGAATATGGTAAGAACTCCAAATGGCCAATTGTGGCTGATTGCCTAATGCCTGGTTCAGCCTATATTTTTCTTCGAATAATGCTGTGGATATAGGTACCTGGTTATATGCTTTTTTGAACTACCACAAAATTTGCAAGGGACCAACAATTTTTTTCGAATTGTGTACCTATAGTTTCGAATGATCGACTGTTAGAAATATCAACTTATTAGTTTTAGGTAAACCAATAATTAAATAAATAGTTCATGTCTGTATAATATTATACGTATAGACGTATATCTAGTAGAAAAGAGAATTAATACCTTTCCAACAATTCAAATTTCTAATCCATATCAGTAGGTATATTACATATCCGCTTAGATTGCATCACACTAATTTTCCGTACCTTATTTAAATTGATTAAAGGAGCTATTGTGATAGGACATTTAAAGAATGTCGACTGCAAACGTGTTATGTCCAAAGCCCAGCGTATCCAGGAGTGTATCCTAGAAATCTCAAGTGCAATTATTGGCTGAATACTAAAAATCCGTTTATTCGTCTGTACATACAAAACGAAGAATTCAACGTGGACGGTCAGCGATGTGAAAATATTATCACATGCCCCATGAGACCGATCACGTCAGGTAACCTTACAATAATATAGTTTTTATTACCTATATCTACATGTGCACAATTATACAATATTTTCTGTAATTAAATTAGAAGTTAGAAATTAAGTTTAAAAGTTCCGGAAAAACGATTCTGAACGGGTTTGGCCTATACAAAAGTGGCTTAGAATTTCTTAGCAGTAATAAAATTCACTTTTTTTCACTATTTTTGGGAAAATTATTAAGACAATTTAGAAATTGTGTTTTTTATTAGCATCTACTTGTTTTGCTAAATTAGCAAACTTGTATGGAAATTACCTAACAATCGTTTTCCAGAAAAAATAATCATAAAAAAAAGCATAATTATAAAACTTGTTATGGTAGGTAAATAAAAAATAATCATTTTTGTATTTAAATTGTTGTATTTGCTGTACATCTTGATAAGAATTAATTCAGTTTGTTTGAATGCATATTTTCTCTACGAAGGAACAAAAAACAAAAATCGGAATTAAAATGCCATAATTTAATTCATGTCCATCTACAAAATTCCTAATTTAAAATTAAACCGCACCTATTAAAATATTTATATTAAAAATATAAATGGAATGATCATAGGTATTTCATTATAATATTAATTAAATACATCATATGAAATAATGGTTTCATTTCAAAAGCAAAAATTGAATTTACTTGCGGTTTGATAACCTATACATATAATATTATATATTTATATTATAATTAAATATTCAACCCTCAGTAAAGATAAAATAAATAATATCATAATAGAATGCGAGTATTGTTTGTGCCGTTTGTGGTATTCACAATGTATTATTGAATTCTGACAGTGTTATAATATATTATACGTTAGTGACAATGAATTAATATTTCTTGTTTCCAATGAAAATACATTTATTAACTGCAGTATGCTAATATCAAACGATTAAAATATGTTAAAGGAGCCGAGTATTGCCCGTATGATTATATAAAAATATATGACGGTAAAAATGCATCTAGCCCAGAGATTGGAACTTTTTGTGGAATGGGCAAATTTCCCCATTCAATTGTTGGTACGAGTGAAGACTTATTTGTGGAGTTTGTAACATCATCAGCAGGTACGATTTATATTTTTATTTTTTATAATAATCTATAATATCAAGTCTTGATAGTAAAAATTAAAACAGTGAAATCACTATAAGTTATTCTTATTTAATATTTAAATATGTGGTGTGTATTTACTATATCAGCAAATTAGGTACCTATATGGCTAAATTATAGTCGAGTATAAGCGAATTCTAAATAATATTCGTCGATTTTATAAGCTTTTACTGAAAGAATTATTTCAACCGATTATAGATATTTATAATATTTAATATCATAAAATATGGTAATTTATAATTTTTATCCCAACAATAACATTTTTAAATCAATAATTAAACGTACCTAGTGCTTGTATTGATACACAAACTAATTTTTTTTAAAGCTATATCCCAAAACGAACGATATGCAAACTAATAATTGGTAACGAAAGAAATGAATGATTAACTAAAATGAGTGTAAGGAAAACATAAAAAAACGTAACTCAATTACTACTATATAGAGAACTATAAAACAATCTTAACTGTGCATATTATAATATATTTATCATTGCAATGATAAACGGAGTAGGTATTTTTAAATATACATAAAACTCTCATTTCCACTGTTTGAGTCTTAAATCTTTCAACGCATTACACAGACCAATTTCATACTAATATAATTACATAGTTTATACCTATATGGCTTAATGAGTAATATTTCATAAATTAATATTCTTAAAGTTTATAAGTTGTAAAACGATAAAGCAAAATATTACTCTCTATCTAATCGTTTATTTTAACTACCTTTATAGTATATAAATTACGACCATTTAAATTTAATAAAGTGGGTGGAGAAACAAATACATATATTTTTACAGTATAGTATATTATACTATATAGCTAGGTATGTTGTACTTGTTCAATATGTAGTAAATTAAATTAATATAGAATCCTTTTCCTTTAAAACTTAAGATTAAATGGAAATAGTTTGAGACCTAATTTGAATTTGTTGTTCACTTAAACATAATAATCAAGTCAAGAAAGTTTTAAAATATTAACATATAAATAATACGAATAAAGGATAAGAATGTTCAAATGTAATAAAATTTGATATGCTATAAAAGCATTTAATATTTCATTTTAACTGAGGTTACTTGTGATAACAACAAAATTGTAATTATTCTATTTGAAATCGTTATAAACATGTGAATAAATATCGATAATTTATACCTATTTAATTATATTATTATTATACATAATATAATATTTTAGTAAAATTAGTCTTATTAGCTATTAAAAGCAATCATATACACTAGCTATATTAATATTAGGAATATAATTTCTTAAAAACTCAAAAACTATTAGTTTTAAAAGCTTAAAACTTAAATCATACATAGACACCCGGATAGATCATAATATGAAATAATTACTTAAAGAAAAATAATTAATTTTTAAAAAATTTTTAAAAAATTAATTTTTATGTGGAACCTACAATAATAGGTTTACAGATAATAATATTATTATTATTTACAATTTTATATAAAAATATAAAAATGTCCTTAAAATTGTACCTAACATTATAGGTATCTACGAAATACATACTTAATAGTTATTACTATTATAATGAATTTATTTTTATTTTTGATTTTACTATTTTAGTTAATACTTGCATAATTGTATCCATAATTTTATTATCCATAATTGTATTATTATTATACGTGTTAGTAAAATTATTCCCGATTATTTGTTGTTTACTTAAATATAGGCCCACTTTTAAATACTGGCTTTCACTTTAACGTTGGTAATATGCCCGGTCACATGCAGACCGCCGGTGAAAAAAATGGTACTTGCGATTGGATATTATCGAGTGAACATTTGAGCAGAGATCACCATACCGAAGGGATATTCATGTCGATCGCTCACTGGTATCCTCCGCACACCTCCTGCACTTATCATTTACTAGGGCTGCCGAATCAAGTAGTTCGAGTTTATTTTCCCAGGTATGTCGACTCGTTCCAAATCCAATAAGTTTACTTAAAACGATAATAGCTCATTACCCTATCTATGTTATTTTATTATTATTGAAAACGACGTTCGCCTGACCGAATACATAATGTCATTGTATTCGTAATTTGAATAGTTTAATACTGCAAATGTGACCTTAAAAATTTAAAATACTTGATCACATTATAGCTTTCGAGTAAATAGCATCGAGAGTCCTGTGACGAGTGACTGGACCGGCGACTGCGGAGAAAGCTTAACTCTCTACGATGCCGCAGGACCAGATGATACGAGAATTATAAAAACATTTTGTGACACGTTTTCCAAGCCGGCTGAAAAACACGATTTCATATCAACGGGAAATTCCATGTTTATCCGATTTGAAAGCAAGACCGGCAGTTATTCTGGGTAAGAATAATGAATATTAGGTACAGGTATGGGTGTTCTTTTATAGCTACTATACAATTACAATAATATAATGATTAATATGTGTAGATAATATAATATATTCATGATAAATTATTAATATTTCTCGTGGGGCTTATTGCTCAGTGTGAATGACTGTAGTAAAATACATTAAATTCGGCATAAACGTAAATCGTCACGAGTAGTAGGTATATCTGCAACATCGCACGTGAATATAATTATAATTGTACGAATTTACGATTGAAATGTATTTAAAAAAAAAAAAAACGAAGAAGAACTCTAGACTCCAGGGGCCCCTCTCCAATATATTATAGCTATGGCCTAACTTGAAACAGAAATACATATAAAAGAACTAAGAAAGTACATATTACTCAAATTTGTACCAAACATTGATTTGCTACCAACATATGCACTCAAATCGAATCGAATATAAAAAAAGGAACTTATTAGATGCCAACAATAAAGATAATAATTTTTTAGTAAATAAAACAATGTATGACAGGCGTAATTAATGTTTAGGTCGTCGTTGTATTATTGGGCTCACTATGACTTTTTCAACGACACAAAATTCGGTACAGCAATACCAGATACAGTGTGTGACGAAGAATTCGTTAGTTGGAAACCATCGTCGGGATATTTCAGATCACCAGTGAACACACTGGTCTACAAACGACAAGGAACGGTTACAGATCCTGATGCTAAATCTCAACCAATAGTTTGTCATTATAAATTTACGACAGACGTTCGGTTATTTGCCCGAATTGTTTTGAAAATTGAGTCGATTAAATTCAAGGTATTTATTTTCGTTAAATAAATTTTAGAATTTGAATTTTACCTAAATATTGTATAATAATTTAAGTACCAAAATTAAAAATGTGATTTTCTACAATAGGTGATTCACCAAACATGATCTACCGCTTTTCTTCATTAAAATAAATATGAAGTTATTAAAAATCTTCTTTTTGGAATTATTAATCAAAAAATAGGTCCCTACCTATAACTTAGACTATATTTTCTAGTTCTCGAGATTTTTGTACTACTTAAGAAGCGTCCTGTGGATATACAACTTTCTGTTTTTCAAATGACAATCCCTGCACAATCTACTGTACATTATTTAGTCAATTTTATTTTTTGAAAATGTTGACATATATCAAAATGAAAATTTGAACGAACGAGTAGTTTTTGAGTTATTTAACTATTTGTGTTCTAAAATAATAAGTCCACAACAATAATGCGTTTGAAAATATAGGGGTTATGTGGATTTAATTTTTTTAGTAATTAATATTAATTTCTCAACATGTGATATTTTTGAGATTTTCTCATCAACATCTCTTCAGGTATAGAGGAGGAAGAGGGTTCATCATTTCATAGGTAACACCCTAACTAGTGGATCTGGATGGGTAGGTTAAGTTTGGGTAGGTAAGTAGGGTAAGTTTGAAGTGCTACGTAAGAGATGAGACGGATACTATGAAGTCAAGCAGTTGCAATTTATAATTTTCTGTTTTTTACGTAATTTACTCGAATCACACATCTAGGGCTATAATGGGCCATGTCACGAACGATCCAAAAAATACAGTAAAATATAGAAACTCTCGGTTTTGGGCAATCTAAAGGTGTTAAGTCAGATTCTGACAGGGTTGGTTTTACATTCTGATATAAAAAGATATCGATCTCTTTTTTTTCGGTAAAAACATCTTCGGTCAAACTTTCGTACGTCTTTATTATCTATGGAATTTTGTTTTTTGTTTGGAATACTGAACATCATAACTCTTAACTTTCAAAACTGGCGTAACACTTTTACGCACCACACTGCATCAGATTATTATGTCAAATCGTTCATTGTACCTACTTGTCTTGGACGAGACGTATAGCGTATATCAGCTGATATTATGGTAATTGATTTCTATCTAGAAGTTCATTATACATGGTATAATACATAATGATATTTAAAATATCGTATGTGCGAACGAATAGCAGGTTGTCGATCTCCACAATAAAAAAATATTCAATTTCCGTGTACAGATTGATTTTTTAAGCATACCTATTCATCCTATTTGTATTTTAAAATTATGCATATATTAAAATTTGAATTTTTTGAAATTTTAAGTACACTTGAAGACCATTTTTTGAATCATTGAAATTTTTTTACCACTTTAGGATGATCCTGTGACAAAACCAATTTCAGTTTTTCAAATAGGAGCCTTCCTTTTTTATTTTTAAGTATTAAGCTAATATTTTTTGGGAATTTTTATGTATCTAAATCAAAATTCAAGATAGTAGTTTTTGAGTTGTGTAACTTTGTGTCTTAAGGATAATATGTCTATGGTAACGGGTTAAGTAGATACGATTTGAAAAAGTTAGCAATGACTAATGATTTATCAATATAAATAATTTGTAAAAATGATCCAAGTATAATAAATACTACGTCTAACATTACATATAGTTTTTATTTTTATGAAACCATTTTTAAGGATTATTAACCTTAGTATAAACATTTTAATAACTCAGAAACTACTTATTACAATTTTGAATTATATACATAAATATTTTTTAAAAATAATCTGCTAAAAATGTTCACTACAAAAGGAGGCTTCACATTTGAAAAATAGAAGTTTGTATTTCCACAGGATACACCTTAAGTAATACAAAAATATCAGACATGTTTTGATAAATGTACTATAGAGGAAAAAAATTGGAGTGAGCATGCTTCAAAAATCAGCCTGTATAATAAAATTATATTATAAAAGTGCGTTAAAAACTCAAAAACAAACAAATACTAAAATACGGAATATACAAGTTTATACAACGATTTAAATTATGTTTGTATGCTCGAGTGCTACATTTCATACACATTATAACAGTTAACTATAATCGCTATTATACTATTTTAACAGCTTCGGGTGAGCGCCTAAAACGATTTCATCAAATATTCGATTTTACGTATTATATTGTAATGCGTGTTTACAGGACCACAATTATAGGACGCCCATTGAAAAGGACAACGACTGTTGGTACAGCGAACGGGACAAGCTACTGGTATGGGAGCCGGAAGAGATCGACGCAGGTTTCGGGCTGAACCGGACGGTCATCAATCAATCGAACACCAACAACGGTCTGTGTTTGTTCAACAACGTAAACAAAACGAGATCAACGCCGTCGGACCCTCACGCGGGCGAAATAAAATTCGTCTCGTCCGGCAACTCATTGAACGTCGAGCTGAATCTGAACCCCCTGCACGCGGCCCTGAGCTATTTCAAGTACGATGTGCCGTTGTTCGAGGCCAGATACGAATTCGTGCACGGTCCCCTGTGCGGGCCGTCCGTCATACAGCCGGTCGACGAAGGCGAACTAGTGTTTCCGCGGTTCGACGCCATGGGATTTGTAGAGCCGCCGAAAACGCTCGAATGTATTTGGGAGATACGCGTTCACGAGGACCGGGATTTGTGGTTACATTTTAATCAGGTAATTATATAGGTATCTTCTATCGAAATACCCACAATTCAGGTGGGTGGTAACTTTAACAGTGTCGGATTTAGCGGTGGCGCAAGGAGTGCAGTCACTGCTGCAGTGTACCTGGGTGCCTCGAGGATGAGGCTGTTTTAGAGGCCTCTAGCTTTCTGACTTTGTACGGAAATAAAGAATATTAACATTATTGATTGGCGGTGAATGGATGGGATCAATAGGATATATTTTCTAAAATACGATTTTTTTAAGCTTATTACTTATTAATAATAATAAAAAAAAAATTGTCTTTCCCCTGGTGGGATTTTATCTCGCGAGTAATAACAATCGGTGGGGACACAAACAATTGTGACAAGTACTTATGTCTATGTGTGACAGTAGATTACATAAATTATATATATATACAAGCTAAATTTTTAATTTTTTTTTTTGAAAAAACCTGGACTCCGTCCAATATGGTTTAAGATTGTTTTGACGTTTGATCCATTTATTTAACTGATTGTGACACAACCTACTATAATATGATTTATTATATTGATACCTATAATCGTCAAGCTTTTTTACAATGTCGAAAAGGAGTAGCAGATCAATTAAAAATAAGGACTTTTCTCGGTGAATTCTGAATATAATCCCGTAGTTCGTGGGTTCATGTTCAATGTTCAGTGATTATTATGTTATTTTAACTTCTTTATTTTGATTAGACTAAAGTCGTCGTGTAGATGATTTTATCTTAAGAGTTTAAGATTGTGTGTGTATACTGTATAAGTTATACTTTTTGCTGAAATGGAAGCGCTTAAGAAATTGCCTCCCTAAATTGTAGTCGCTTGGAAAGTTTCCTGAGAGTTTCAACTGCCTCTTATATGTTTATATGTAAATACGGTACTTCGTTCAATAGGGTTCATACAAAGGAGAAAATATAAGTCACCGGAATAGTCGTCTTATACCTCCCACACTCGTTTTACGCTCAGATTTGACCTCGGCTGTGCCTACCAAATAATTTATATATTTTGTAACGAAAACTAAAAACGAAATTTAAAACATTGAAAACCATAACAATAATATCTACTATTTGACGGGCGACGATAGGCATTTTGACGATTCCAAGAAAAAATATGTTTTTACGATTATATTCAAAACATGGTTTTCAAATAAAACAATAATAAAATGGGGGGACGAGGTGACCGAGTGGTCTGACTCTTCCGCTGCGACGCAGCCGGTCGCGGTTCGATCCTCGGCCACCGGGCGGCATTTTTCTCCGGACAATTCGCGGTGACCGGAGAGCAAGTGCTGCCATCCCCCACCCCCGGGGCATGGCAGAAACCTACGGGTGCCCCATTCGAAATTCTGCCAAAACAAACACACACGTGTTCCCCCTACCGTTCCAAAAACCTACAAACCATCAATACAAAAAAAAAAACCTACAGTACCTACTAATAGCTAATGGCCTCAGTTGCCGGGCTCAGGATCAATTAAAAAAAAAAAAAAAATAATAATAATAAAATGGAAAAGAGAAAGTGTATATACAACACATCATGAATGGATAGTCTGCAGTAGCAATGGAAATAATAACAAATTTTTTTTGCATATTTTATTTTGGTCCTGTGGTATTGCTCCCTCACACCACACTCCTTGAAATGAACCACATTACTGACCTCCCTCATAATTATGTAAATAAGTAGGGACAACATATAATAAAATATTTGTTATTATTACTATTATAATACTATGTAACGCGCAGGTAAACTTCGTGACGGACGACTGTCAGGACGGCCGGCTGGAGGTGTACTTGCCATCCAGGTCGGTGGACTACCCGTTCATGTCGGCGTGCGGACACAACTCCACGGCGCTCAAAGACCTGCCGCTGTTGACTTCCAAGGACGTTGAAGAGGCCGCCGACAAGTCGTCGCCGACGACCGGCGGTGCAGAGTCTCAGCGGCACGACAACCGGTCGCGGCGAAGGCGGCGACAGCGGCGGCGCTACGTGCACGTCCGGTTCGTGGGCAACGCTTACCCGCACAAGGCGCAGTTCAAGATCGCTTGGTCCGAGCTGAGCCACTTACCTCGGAACCCAGACGGGACGCCGCGGGCCGCCCGGCGCACTTCCGACGCCGACGACGAATGCGCGTTCCTGTGTCCGGGCGACGAGCGACTGTGCCTGCCCGCCCGGGCTGTGTGCAACGGCGTGATTAACTGCCCGGGTGCTCCCAACGACGAATCGCCGGACACATGCGAACGCTGGAACCACGGGTTGGCTCCGTCCACCGACGTCGGTGGCCGCGGAGCCCCGGCGGCTGTCGCGCTGTTCGCCGCCGTCACGGCGGCCATTGCTGTCTTCGGAGCGGCGCTGTTCGTGGCCAGCACTTACTGTCGCCGCCGGCGCCAACTACTCCGAAGTGGCCGACCCGCAGCGTCCGGTCGTCGAGCTATGGTCGCTGGTGGCAGGTCAACCGACCGCATTTATTCCACGGTAATGGTACAACGCAGTATAGTATATGGAATATTACCATCATAACCATGTGGTAACTCACCGTCCCAATATCTCAGGAAGGGGGGAGGGGCTGTGGTGGCTTGTTTGGGATTTTTCTTGGGGTAAAAGGCTCGCCGGTTGGAGATACCCCGGTTCAAATCTTCTTGGATGTGAGACTTGCGTTTTCAACTGCAGTAAATAAGAAAGTTACATGTAACAATGGTATAGATGTTAAATAGATCAGCAAAAATATTTTAAAGTTGTGAAATGTTGCTAAATGCGTCATTATGACTTACATCCAATGATATTTTAAATAGCAAATGTATACTCCTTCCCCCCCCCCCCAAAAAAAAATGACTCCCACGAGTTACACCTTCGCCTTAACTTGATCTAACGTTTACCTAACTACCAAACATAAAAAGAGTATATTCTAAAGTATTATTATTATTAAGTATATAATTATTTGTATATAAGTACCTCTACCTACGTTGTGTACCTCTCAAGTCCTTGTTAATTATTAATCAGTAGAAGGTAGTGAAATGGAAAATTACGACCGTTTTAATACCTGTCCTATAGGCTATAGTCGTTATTTGTGTCTATACATTTTACATGAAGCAACGAAAATGATACAATAAACAGGCGATTCTTTCGCTGTGGACCAATCAATATTTTAAGAATTACGAGGAATTATTTATAAATTAGAAAATACTTTTTACATTGTCTACGTCCAACGACAATTTTAAATTTTCCTTAGCATTTTAATATGGAGCCATATCTGGTGGACGTTCATATAATAGTGTTCCGAATAGAATTGTATAAATAAAATACAATTTAACATACTGTTTTACTTGTCATTTCTATATTGCAGGACTAATGCATTTATCAAAATCATAATTCAAATTGGTTCTGTTTAACTACTCCGCTCCACGTACATTATATATATACGTACTAGATATCAGTGATTAGTAGATAATATATGCATTCTGAAGGGCGTTTTAAAACCGATTTTCTACAACAACAGTTGTTTTGAAAACCCACGTAAATATCGTCGGTGGTTTTGTATTTAGACAGGGACGATAATTATAATAATATTAGGTACCTATAACTAGGTACTCCGTTATCGAAATAATTTAATATTGTGTTATAAATTGTAATTGTACCTACTACCTATACTAAAATTTATCTACACTTGTGTATTCCACAGGACTATTAAAAACGAATATAATCGGATAATCCTATGGATGTCTGCGGATCATCGTCGACAATTCCCACACATACCAACTATCTATACGACAAATGAATTAATCGCACATGATCATTATAATTTTTTTTTTTTGTAATTAAGTATTAACTATGAAGAATTAAAACGTATTTATATAATAATAGTGTGTAAGCTACTCAAATATAATACTATTATTATATTATATTGTATCAATTAAATATACGCTCATTTAATTGTCTCAATACCTACCAAGTAGATTTTAACTAAAAGTATTGTTGTTGTATAATTATATTAAAATATATTCAAAAGTATAAGACATGGACAAGCCGATTTTATATTATCACCCTATATTCGATAGAGTATCTATCGACTATCTGTAAAGTCCTATCTAAAAAGTAAATCATCCAGACGCCTCCAACACCTGTCACCTGTCACCTGTTAGTATTAATGTTCCTTCAATAATAGTCAAAACCGCACAATATTATTTACAGATGTCTATTTTATTTTATATAATCACTAGTTCCACAAAATTTAAAGTTTTCCTTAATATGGTAGTAATATATATGTTGTAATGTTACCACCGATGGGGGATCTGAAGGTCATTTTTAAACTTGGTCCAGCTGCAGGTAACGTAGATACTTATTAGGCTATAAATGAATATGAATCTCGATTGGAGGACCAAATCGATTTTAATAATTGCCGAGGTTCTAAGTCAAATCAAATAGTAGCAATGGAAAGTAATAATAAAAATACTTTCCAAAATGTACACTTCTGCGGCTTGAAATATGTAGAATATTGCCCATCTTAACAGCCATGCCAGAAAAGTGCTTTTCAAGTTAGAAAAGAACAAAAACCTACCGGAAGAATTATATTTAGAAAGTAATTTCATTATTTGTTCTTCTAAAATAAACTGAACTTAAGTCTTAAACTGATTAGAAGTGGACGAATAATTATTGGCAATGATGTAAATAGATCGAGACATCAAAATAGAATAAGCTTATGAATGTTATAAACGAACTTAGATTTAGTCCAAAACAGTTAGTCTTTGTATATAATTAATGGACATGGGCATACTAATCAAATTATAATGGTGAAAATATACAGCTTTTTATAAATTAAAAAAAAATATGTTATCAAAAGTAAAGTGGGGGTATATGTATTTGTACTGTAGTTGGTAAAGGTTAAAGGTATATTTTAACCCCAAGGGTATTAAATTGAGCAAAATCAATTAATTATAAATCAATGGTATTGTATCGGAAATAGGATACTACGGTCTTTTTCAAATAACGAGTAACTGAGAGGGTTTAACGGAAGTTTTTCAAATTCGTAAGTCTATATCCTTTGTGCACTTCATCACTTCAAGCAGATTATAAACCCTGTTGCTACTCTACAGAACTTACCTTATTTGGCCGAACCTAAAGATGTCCTGCGTGTATATACCTATGTCCTATTCCATACTCGGCTTTTTGATTTGCTAGATGTTGGTGGGTACTATCGTTTCGCCAATCCTTCTTCTATCGTTATAGTGACATATTATTATGTTAAAAATATAAGTTGGTATCTAGTGTATAGACTGCAGTACTGTATTTATTTCCTAAACAAACGTCAAATATTCACATCATAATGCACTTCAGCAACTGCAGGAACTGAACCATAGAAAACTTGTTCTGGAACCCAAAAACACATGCATTTTTATACGATGTAAATTGTTTGATTATTAATTGTTTTATTTTATTTCATGATTTGACAATAAAACATATTATTGTGTCACGTAGTGTAGATAACCTTCTATAATGTGACCGGAGGCGTGCAACTCACATAATGGTAAGAACAAATTTCTCGATGAACCACCAGCATTTATTTCACTTTTTGACATGATATATTGGCCATAATATGTTTATTTAACTGGAGTTTTCGAATTCAACGTGCAGTCAAATTCTCATAATATTATATATTTTACGTACCTTTCCAGCTATAGATCAGGTTATAAAATATCGAGTTAAGGCGATTGGTTACCGTCCTATTATTCCGTTAAAAACTACCCATTTTACTTCAATCATTCCGATCACTGTATTGATGCGATAACAATTCTGAAAATTAATTTGAATTCAGAGTGAAGTCTACTTGATATCGGTCGAATTACATTTATCAACAGCCGTACATATATATTATGATGTAGTAGCTTTACTCTTTAATAATATCGACATAAGATCAACAATCATCACAACACAAGTATCTTATAAACACAACAATAGCATGCGTTACTTAGAGACTAGTTATTTTTTATAAAAACAAATACACATGATTGCTATCTATCAAGGGCGCTCATTGCTCATTAGGGGGGCTCAATACACGCACATGACATGTCACCCCTTAGACGCTTAGACACCCTTAGACAAATGTGAAATTATAGTATCGAAAATAGTTTTGAATTGTAGATAATAAACTGTTTTTACTGATGTCTGATGATATACTCCATGACATATTACATAAGGGCATCGCTTCTCTATGTTGTATACATACTTGTATAAGTCTATTTTCTGTTATTTAATAAAAGCAATTTTATTGGTTCTTAATTTTTTTTTTATGATATGTCAACGCCTATGTTCGGGTTATTAGGCCCCTTTGTTAGGTACCTATTATATATTTTGTGAAAAATCTAACCATAAATATATTTGCCTGTAAGTCCCGAGTGCCACCCGGATCATATAAACAATATGAACAAGAAATATTTTTCAAAACGAAATTATCATATTCAAGCACCTGAAATTGAAATAAAAAAATCATATATTATTTTGGTTACTCATAATATATCAGGAACATTGCAGTGAATATCTTTGAATATTATCCAGAATCTGTGTACGGAGGCGGTGCTTAAATTAAAAACATTTTTATGATGCTGATTCTTAATAACAAATGACAAATTATATTATATTTTTTTTTGTAACGGGAGGGGGGCTTGTTTCCTACCTCCTAGATCCACCCTTAGTTGCAATGTTCAACTTAAGATGAGTGTTTTGTTAAATACTTAGAAATTTCTAGACTACGTTGTAGGAAAAGTTACGAAGAATTCTGCGTTGCAGGTATGGATCATTCATACCAGACTTAGGTACCATACCAAGTGACTATAAACATAGATTCTGGCCAACCGGAACGTATGCGGAAAACCGTTATGATAATTATTGACAACACACTATACGCTCGTGGCCCGTCATTAACGGGCACCTGCTGAAATCGAAGTTATGTCTTCATAGCTTACGAGACACCCCCACGGACGACACTCACATGTCCGTCCACCAACTTCGGCACTGAGTTTACCAGCTGCCACCTCCGCCACCGTCAAAGATTTACGGATAATGGCGACTTCGTCGGCAAAGACGACTTCTGCATAAGTAAAAATGTATTGCCATATTTCACATCCTGTTCGTATTCTTCGATCCACTTGACGAAAGAAAAATTAAAGTTACGGAAGTAACGCCGAAGAGTGATGTGCTCATAAAATAAATACTAGACATAAGAAGAAATAGAGTGTATGTAAATTTTTATACAAAATGTGTACAAAGTCGTAAATAATAAATACATTTTTTTCGAAAACTTTTTATGTATTGAAATACTTTAAATGATGCAAACATAGTTAATATAGGTATATTAGGTATATAATAATTTTGTGGTGGTGCATAATATAATGTACTCCGGGCTGATACAAAATAATCCTGCCCGTCCTGCAGGTATAGTATTATTATTGTTGAGGATTTTTTTAGGACCTCTTCTACTTAGAACACCTTTGTAGTAGACCAACATAATCCACAAATGCTTATAAGTTATAAGTTATATCTATATAGGATCCGTACTTAAACGCAAAATGCATTATTTTTTGGAAAGTCCTCGGCAATACTTTCCAAGTACAAAATTTCTTTCATACTCAATACTCACACATCAAAGAATTTAAAACTATTAAACTTTTATTTTGCATTTTTATCGGTTTTGGTGTTTTTTAAGCAATAATTATTACAATTTTCAAGTAATTTTTATTTATTATTAGTGCACATTTATACATGATATGAGTCGGTTTTTATATTTTAAATTTAATTTAATTGGTAATTTCAAAAATTTTTGCTGCGGCCATTCATCATTTGACGATTGTACTACCTATTTATGATTTTATAAACCCTAATCAGTAACAACGAATTAGTTATTTGGTGTTACATCGTTAAGTTCGTATTTGTGTTCATACTCAAGAATTGTTAAAACAATGTTTTGGTTATTTTTTGGATATTATTGTGGTTAAAATACATTTTTATAGGGGCATTATACTCTAAATATTATTTATGGTATATTATTTTAAGTAGGTACATTACATAAACAAACAATTAATAATGCCTCAAATACATTTTAGTTTTAAAAACATATATCACCTGTTTATTATGGTGATTGGTGAATAAACAAAATTCAAAAATAAAGTACCAAGATCAAAACGTTTAGGCTGTAATAGTCAGGCCCGGATTAACACTACCGTAGGCACTAGACCCATGTGCTAATACGGTCCTGTAGTTTTCAGTATTTAAATGATTAAGAAACCACGTGCGCATCGTGTTCTATACGTTCCCAATACATATTAATTATTGTATCGTTGTACGCTGTTAAGTCATATAATAAAATATGTCTACCATAGATTCTAACTACACCGTAATGCTGGAGTTAACGGAAGGCGAAAAAATGAAGAGGATATTTGAAGAGCTGAGATCGGCAAAGTTCAACATTCCAACTAAATTTTCAACACGGGTTGGAACTTGGTCGACGTTGAAAAGACACGAGTCTGCGCCGAACGTGACCATGACTTGTCATCAACCAGCCGCAGTAGGAGACTCCGAAGTCTACCACCAGTGTTTGTCCGCTCCGGCCGAGCTGCCCTGCAAGCATTTTGAGCTTTCTGACGTGCTGACACAAAACGGACCCCCATTCAGTCCATCGGACCTCGAGATGTCCGTTCCAAAGGACGCAGGATCCAGCGCGTCGCTGCAGGATAATGGTGCTGTGAGTTCGATGGATACGCCGAAAGCAGTTAACACGTTATCGTGTACTTCCGTGCAGTCGGCGCCCGAACTACCAGCAACATCGCCCAAAGTCCGGGAGACA